TTTTTTTTTTTTTTTTTTTTGCCCTCACCATCCCCCATTCTAGGCAAGTCAAAGGATTCAAAGGATTGATAACCCTCCAATACTCCAGGACCACTTCAGTTGGCTCCTACCTAGTTTCTAGTTTCCTGCTTCTGCCCTTGCTAGTCTTGCAGCAAACACAGCAGTGGCAAGATGATCCTTTTCAAATGTAACACTGCTCTCACTACTTGGCTGCTTCTTTTATTCAGTAAAACCCTCCTCCCCACCTTCTCTTCTGAGGCTGTCCTGAAGGGATCTTATCTCCTGCCACTCTTCTGTGGACACCCCAGTCCATTCTGCTGGCTCTCTCATTCATGTGAGCTCCTTCCCTGGATCTCAGACACAGTTTCCTCACTTCCTTTGGGTTTCTGCTCCACTGTCACCTCCAAGAGAGACCATTCCTATCAGGATCCCCAACAGTACGCTATGACAACCTGTCCCCTCAACTTTTATTATGCCACTTGATAGATGATAGTATTTATTGTCTGTCTCACCCCCTGCCCACTCTGATGATGTAGGAGCTTTGCTTATTTTGTGTCCTTGACCCTGAGGCTCCTGAGGAGTCAGAATATTCAGTTTAAAGTATGAGAACTAAATTTGGCTAGCCCTCCTGTTGTGGGTGGAGTGGCGGGGGCAGTGATCAGAAGGGAAGTACTGAAGTTCCATCTCCTCATATACTTCTCTTCTACTGCCGGAGTCATAAGATCAACGATTACCTAAAACAAAACTTGACTTACAACAGTTTGTGGTTAACATTAGTGGGGGAATTTAATTGTAGTCTCTACCAATAGCCCTTGTTTTCCTTGGTTTCACCAACCATCCTTCCACTCTATAGAAACAGTGCCTGTATGTTTGTTATAGGGCTTGAACGTCAGCAGCAAAATCCTCTATCTTTGTCACCTCACAAAGTTGCTCCACAGGCATTCACAGCTTCCAGTCCTAGAGGAAGGGATCTGTGGTTCCCAAGCCTGTTTCTGCTGTGTTCTCAGGAAATCCACTATTTCCTGTGACAAAGTATTGCCAAGGAATGAGCAGATTGATTGTTTTAAATAGTGACTACCCTGGGAAGGGTGCTGGGTTCCAGTGCACTGTACTTACCTGTGCTTTTTCTTTTCTCCTGTTTCCTTTTTTCCACTCCAGGCCTCGGCTGGGGACAGTCATGCATCGGGTCATTGGACTGGGACTGCTTTACTTTATCTTTGCAGCTATTGAAGGCGTGATGAGAGTCATTGGGGTAAAACTACACTAATTCCACTACCACTCCCTTCTTTTTTTGTTCCTATGAAATATGATCTTACTGTATATCTCCTGAGCGGATATTTTTAAATCTAGCAATTTGGGAAAAAGGCCCAAGTTGAGTTCTTTCCCTATGGGGTAGTTCCCTTAATACTTCTTGAAGGAAAAGGAGACAGTGTGCTTCTCCAAATGGTATGATTACTTGTGAAGGCTCCACTTGGTATCATTCCTGGAATCAGCTCCATCCCAGCAACATTTTGGTACTGTTATAAAAACCTTTATTTCTGTCATTACGTAGTCTGCACACATAGCATTCTTAATCCTGGTATCAGGTGAACAAAGTTAATTATACTAGATAATTATATGTCTTCAGGTATGTAAACATCACACTGCATCTGTCTTCTGGTGTTCATTTGATTATAAATTTGCTCTAACTCTGAGGACTTGCACTGTGGGGACTCAATAGCCTCTACTATTGCCTATGCAGGCAGAGATTGTGTTTGAGGAGAGAAGCCTCTGGTAATATAGGCAGCAGCACATTGCTCTCTAGGGGAGTATTCGTATTTATATCTACAAGGACCCCTATAGTTCTAGCCTTCATTTTTCTTAATAAGTAGTTGAGAACATTATCTTACCTGTTTCAAAGATCTCTACCTGTTTCACAATGTCTTTTGGATTCGATGTATACATCAAGTCATTGTGCACAGAGTGATTAGTCTATATGTTGCCACATAGGTTTACTTCACATATTTTGACCTGGCTTAAAACAGGATAGTTTTTCATAAAAAACTTTATTCCTCTTTCTGTGGTCCTTGATGCATTCTTTGTCATAAACCTATTCTTTCAGTCTCTGTGTACTTATTTTTACATAGTTGTGGAAAGCTTTGAATACATACTTCATAGAAAGGGAACATGTGCTAGAAATAGAAAAGATAAATATCTCACATATAAATATAGTGTGTGCATTGTATTTTTTAGAAAATTTACATAGTCAGCCTCTTAGTGACTTTTAATATTACTAGTCAGAGTAAATGTCTGATCTACAGTTTACCCTTCCACACAGTTCCCACCCTTATTTTACTTTTTTTCCTGTGTGCCTTCATGGCGAGAATGGGGAGGTCAGGAGTCCATTTCTTTAGTATTCCTGGCTGTAGGTTTGGTATGAATAAGGAAAAGTTGAAATGGTTGGCCTAAGCGAGACTAGAGGCATGAGACTTTTTATTTGGCAGTCCATAGTAGTTTTACATTACTAGCATCTAATAAGTCAATGACACATTAGCATTTGCTACCAGAACAGGTAATTTTCATGTACTAAACACCGTCATTTATGTGACATTGTAGAGTGATAAAGTAAGATAAATTTTCTTCATCAAATAATTGCTATACTGTAATTAAACTTTTACAATCAGGTTTTTCTCCCTATTTTTGTCTTTCAGGGTTCTAAACATTTAGGTGTTGTTTTGGGTGACATTATTTTAGCAGTTATTGACTCCATTTTTGTGTGGTTCATATCCTTTACTATGTCTTTCCAAAAGAGATTGTTGCATCATTAAAATCAGATTATTTTTCACGTGTAATAATGATAGGATAAAATAGTTTATTTGAAGGTGAAAAAGTAGTAATTCCCCAAATGAGGAATACCTGTCTTTATTTAAGTTCACAAATACTTAAGTACTCAGTATCTGCCTCCCACTAATAAGGTACAGATGAAAAAGATTGTCCCTGCATTTAAAGGACTCACAACCTGACAGAAGACACATAACTAAAAACAGTACAGCGATAATTTTGCCATTGTAGAGTGGTGTCATGTGAATAGAGGTAGGTAAGGGAGAAATTAATTCTGGCATAAAAATCAGGAAGGCCTTCAGAGGTGATAAAATTTAAGTTGAGCCAAGAAAACAAATAGTTTACAAGGAAGAGAACTGGGGAAGCAAAGGCCAAATGTGGCATTCCTGCAGAATTCTGGCAGGCAGGGCTGGGAGGGAAAGGCGGGAGGGTTTGAGGTTTTGAGTTGGAAAGTAGAGAGGAAGGGAAGCTGTGCGTGTGTGACATAATGACGTCTATGGTAGAAAGAAGGATGACACAAGTGGCAAGGAGAGACTGAAGGCAGGAAGTCTGGTAGGGAGTCACTTGCAGAAGTATAAAGAAGAAACAATAAGGATCAGAAATAGTGATAAAATGGGGGGAGATATCCAAATGACAGACTTGCCAGAAATAAGTGGTTCCAGAGAGGTCTGGCATGGCTCATTGGAGTAGCTGGGGCATCGGTACCATTCTCTGGCTGGGGAATATAGAGGGGCCGTGATGGATGAGGTTTGGGCTACCCAGGGCATTAATGTGAGAGAATTAGAAACCACAGCCTGGGCTTGTGAGAGGGTCATAGCTGGAGATGGAAGTTGGAGGTAATGTGTAGACTGGAGAAGGCTGCAGCTATGGAAAGACCCAACTGGAACATACTGATCAGCGGAGAGGAGCCAGGATGGTGCCGTCTTGGGGAGAAAGAAGCACCTGGAAGGTACACCAGTGTGAAGGGAGGTGGAAGAACCAGCAGACTGCCAGGGGGTTCACAGGAAGTTGGGGAGGGAGTGGTCAGACCGGTCAGTGCTCCAGAGCCAGCCTCACTCACACCAGTTCCCATCCTTCCATAGGTTGGAGCAGGCAGCCACAGGTGGGCTCAGGGAAGGCAGCAGCTGGAGGTATTGCAGCAGGAAGAGCTTTGGAGGCAGTGGTAACTAGGTCCTCCTATCTGTCTCAGTGACTCAAGCCAAGTGTAGGAGAAAATGTGACTTGGTTAGAGCAGAACACAGGCTATGCATGTAGAACATTTTCTATGCTGTCATTGGAATTCTTGTCTGTAACATAGATTTCTTATTTTACTATGTTCTTTTGTTTCCCCTGTCTTTGGTACTTTCATCTTTTGACGTGGAATTTTCTTTTATTACCTTCCTTGTATTTCTTTACATGTTCTCATGTGTGTGTCTCCCAGGAAGGGTCAGCAGATTTGGACTTGCCTGTTTCCTTTCTCCATAGGGAGGTATGCATTGTGCAAAGAGCAGTGCTCAGAGCTGCTGTGACCCCCACAGGTTGTTTCCTATGCCTCGCCTACCTATGCTTTCAGTTCCCCATTTGTGAATTCTCAGTATGTTCCCACAGTAAAGGAACAATGAACTTTTGATGAATTATCATTTCTTATGGTTCTTAACCTTGTTTGAGCACTGGGATTAGAAATGCCTTTGGAGGGCCAGGGATTTAGTTCCGTGGTTCTGGTGCCTGCCTTGAAAGTATAAGGGCCCAAGTTTGATCCCTGGTACCAAAAAAAAAAAAGAAATGCCTTTGGAAATTGAATGACTGCTATAGTGCCTCCCTTCACAGAGCACAGCCCACACGAGGAGTTTTGTGCACAAGGGGCCACTAAAGACCTCCTGATTTATATCTGTGTGCCTTCTCAGTGTGAAAGCATTGTTAAAAAATAACATGTGATTTTTTAAACGTGTGATTTTGAAAGTTGGTTTTGACTGAACTTAAAACTCTTGTCCTGCTTCTGTTTAGAGCTGTAAATTTAGAGTCTAGATTTATTGACTGAATTGTAGTTAAATAAATCTGCTCTTTTCAGAGAGTGGTATCTTTGATGTTTTTCTATTAGAAGACACTTTAAAAAATGCAATTCCTAATATATTCCTTAATTCTGCATGTGAACAGTGATCAGCCTGCAAGGCGGTGTGTCCCTAGTATCTGTGTCGGGCACACTTACCTGTTGTGAGCAGAATGGACAGGAAGGACCAGCACATTGGGAATTAAGCTGGCAGATTGCAGTGGAGATGAAAATGACTGATGGCTCTCAGCAAAAGTGCCTCTAGATTTTCTTTTTCTTTTTTTTTTTGAGACAGGGTCTTTATGTAGCTCAGATTGGCCTTGAACTCACTGTGTACCGCAGGCTGGCCTCAAACTCATGCTGATACTCCTGCTTCAGCCTCCCAAGTGCTGAGATTATAGGCATGTGCCACCACGACCCCAATATCTCTAGGTCTTAATCCCTTGCCATATGTTTAGGAAATGAGCCTAAGCTACCTATTCAGTTTGGATTTTCTCCTTCCTAAAATTGTGTATGCTTGGAGATTTTGACAAGTCAAGGAGACAGTTCATTGAGATGTAGGATTTGCATTTAAAATAATTTATACAATCTCTTCCTGATAATTTTCAGATAGTTGTTTCAGGAATTTCTTGTTCTTAACCGTCTACAAGGCAGTTCATTGGAAAAACACTTAGCATGCAACTTGGCAGAAAATTCCAAAGGAAGACAGCTCTGCAGTCTCCAGTTCCCTCTGTTTTGGGTGAGGGCAGTTTATCACCCTTGTGGACAGCATTGACTTTGGTATTGATACATTCCAGTACATGATGAGTCAGATCTCGGGGAGTCCAGGGAAACGAAGAAGGATTTAATTTGCTTAATAATCATAATGAAATCTAAACATTAAAATTATCTTGGTTAGTGTTTCATGGTGAGAGAAAGAAAATTTAGTATCCATTTCTGCTTAACTCTTAACACGTGGAATTTGCCTTTAGATTGCTATCTATAATTTTCATTACTAAGGTGAAAAGTCTACTTTCTCTGTACAAGGGAAAAAAACCCAGTGTGTTTCCTAAATGATTACAGATAGCAAAAAGAAGCAGAGATAGATACATACAGAATTGACTGCTTTGGATAATTACCCTGCTTCATTTGATCTTCATGAATTCAATTTATTTAGCTAATCCTGTAAGATTCTAACTCTAAAGTAGCAGGAAAAAATAGCCTGGAAAATGCAAAAGCCATAGCTTTTCTCAATGTGCCACCTCCCTTTTTTCCTGCTTGTTATTTTTTTGCTGTTTTGCTGCAGGCGAATGACTCTGATCTTGTTCTTCTGGCCAGCCTCCCTCTCTCTCTCCTTGACTCTGGCTTGTGCTGGTGGATATCCTTTTCCTACTGCAGCAGCATGCGCATTGGCTGTCCCTCAGGATGAGGAGTTTGTTTGCTCTCATCACTGCTTTCCCTAATGGGAGGAATGATTTAAACTTTACCTAACTGTGACACTGTCTTGGTACGTGAAGGCTTAGGCAGTTTCTAATTTGGTTTTGATGTTCATATTCCTTGGCTTTAAAGAAAACATTTTTGAATGATTAAAAAAAAACAGGTTTTTTAAAAAAATCTTGATATGTTTAAGAATAAGGCATATTTGCAATTTTATTAAGTTATCTTTGGTTGACTTATGTTTCCTTACAAATTGATCTCCTTTGCAACTTACTGGTCACAAAGACTGAAAAACAGTCTTGTAAAGTAGATTTTGAGTGAAAATGGAGGTTTTGATTAATAAAGTATTTAGAACTCATGGGCCAGGGATTTGGCTCAGTGGTTCTGGCACCTGCCTCGCAAGCACAAGGACCAGAGTTCGATCCCCAGTACCAAAAAAAAAAAATAGGTAGAACTTAAAATAGGCATCAATGTAAAACTTGCCATTTCTGTTCTTTTGCTCAGCTCTATTATTGCCAATGTTTGTTTCACAAGTAACTAAAGCCTGTTGGTCTGCTCCAGAGAAGGGAACTTGCATTTAGGAAAAGAGGTCTGAGCTGGGCATCGTGATGCACACCTATAGTCCCAGTACTCTGGGAGGCTGAGGCAGGAGGATTGCAAGTTTAACCCCAGCCTGGTCATCTTAGTGATTTAGCTCAGTGTAAGGTCCCCCTTACCAAAAAGAAAAAAACAAACAAAAACTACAGGGATCTGACTTGAATCCCTTCATTACTGTGAAGTCAGTGAAAAATTCTCTTCGTGCTTATTCAAACTTGGTAGTGTTCTCTTTTACCTGAGCCCTGTGTTCCTGGAGTGCAGCCATGGTTAAGAAAGCCCTCACCATTTCTGTTCTGGGGAAAGGTAACTCCAAAGAAGTGCCTTCCTCACAGGGCTTAGGTGAGCCTTTGATATGGCCCGGGTCCTGTGACAAAGCCAGATACAGACCTCCAGGTCCCCATTCTCTGTCTCCTGCATGACTAGCTGAGCCTTTCATATCTGCTGGCCAATCTGGACAAAGTACTGATGAGCCAATGTCAAGCTTTCTCCTTTCCCGGGCCTTGAACTTTGAGCCCCATCTGCGTGAGCCAGCATGGATCCCTTCTTACGCCGCCCCCTTGTGAACCCACAGACCTGCAGGAGAAAACTGATCAGGGAGGCACACTACCACCTCTCCCATGCCTGCTCCTTTCTGGCCCTTGAGACTCTGGAAGGTCTGAGAGTCTTCGTAGTCCCCCATTGCGGTAATCACTAGTACAGTCCATCCCTACTTAAGTTCAGGTTTGTTTTGCATATTCCAGCTTTCAAATTTATAAAATAGAATTAATAGATGGCCTGACTTCTTAATTATGGTCATTCAGAAAATAGACTAGAAAAAAAAATAGGAAAGAAACCAAAAAGCATAGGCAAATAACGTATCCTAACAGTCTGCAGAGGTCACCTGACCCAGAGGGGATTTGGCCTTGATTGTGCACTGTTTTGTCCTGTGTCCTAGAGCCTGGCCTTGAAGGACAACATACCACACGTCTTGCTGACATTTTTGTCCTGGAAGATTGTTCATTTATTTCAGAGAGTGGTAAATTATAAAGCAAAATCTGTAGTATATCATGGTTATATGTTATTGGTATAAAAGTAACATTTTCTTTGTTACTAGCTTCAAATTTTAGGAATTGTATTTAGCAATACTAACCATGGAAATGTTGTTGAAGATTCTTATGTTTTTAAAAAATTATTCATTACGGTTTAAAATGTTTTTCCTTAACTCTTTTTACATTTTTATAAGTTTGGCACAAACTATGAAGACTCTAAGACTAAGAAAAAACACAGTGAAATTTTCCTTATATAGGCACTTTACAAATACTCTCATCTTTGCTGTGCTAGGTAAGTTGTTTACTTTTCTTATTATAAAAAATTATTTCAGCTTTGCAAATTCCTTCAAAGATGACTGACTTTTTCATGTCTTTCAGCTTCTATAGTGTTTATGGTGTGGACAGCTATGACGTTTAGAATTGCAAAATGCCAATCTGTAAGTCACATCTTTGTGGTTAATTATACTGTTTTATTTCGTGAAATTTTGAAGACTTTTTACTTGTGGATATATGTAATTTTAATGATTCTCCTTTTACTTTGAACAATTTTACCTAGAATTAACCAAAACTCTTTCTTCTTTTAAGTGAATCTGAAAATGTCCTCTTAAATCTCCTTTTCTTGTCATGCCTTTTTCTCAGCTTTCTACTTTGAAGAAGAATTATCTTCCTGTGTAGTTTAAAGCAACAGGAAGGGACCAGGGATATAGCTCAGTGTCAGAGTGCCTACCTGGCATATATGAGACCCTGGGTTGAATCATTAATACCATAAAAAAGAACTAGGTCAGTGGAGTAAAAGAAAAGCTTTTTGTTCCTGTGCCCTATGAATTTGAGTGGTTTTGTGTCATTTGTGTTTTTGTTTCTTCCCTTTTGGTTCTGAGGGTTGAACCCAGCACCTTGTATATGCTAGGTACACACTTTACAACTGTATCCCCAGCCTGTTTTTTGTTTTGTTTTGTTTTGTTTTATTTTTTTCCTAAATGGGACTGAAAACCTTAAGACTGTCATGTTTCTGTGATGGCATATGCACCAAATGTGGACTTTGGGAGATGTTCACTTTGGGCTCCCTAATTGAAAGAAAATACATTTCTCAGACTTGACAGTATGAAAGGCCCTCTTTTAGGTCATCCCTGAGATTTGGAGCTAGTCTCTGTTCTACATAAACAATCGTGATATGCACTGTGGCAGGCCTGAGCTGCTGCCTTGGGAACAATTCAGTAAGATAAGAGGTTGAGCATTCTGGTATTTCATTTTCTTCTCTCCTCACCTTAGTTATTTTCTATTTGAAGTTCTAAGTATATATTTTGAAATTTTGTTTACTAAATCTTTTTGTTAACCCTAAACTTTTATGGAAGGGGATGTTTATAACAATAGAGAGCCTTTTAGAAACATTACAAACAATATAGATTTCCTTAAAAAAAACAAACTTGTTTACTTGGGAGACTTTTTGATGGCAGGGATGTCATTCATACTTGTCATTGTATACTGTTTGAATGGGAAAGCTGCATTTTTTTTTTAATTGAGTTTATTGGTACATTTTAGGTGTATACAGTATAGTTACATTCATTATTGGGATCTTGTACCTTTACATGACAGGTCTTGGTGAAAAGCTGTATGTTTATAGAACATAATTTTTCATGTTTCATTTGTCCTTATTTTAGGATTGGATGGAACTCTGGGTTGAGGATGCATTTTGGAGCTTCCTTTTCTCACTTATCCTTATTGTAATAATGTTTTTGTGGAGACCATCTGCAAATAATCAGAGGTACCTAACACAGGAAAATTTAAGTCAGGAGATGTTTGTGGACGACTACCTGCAGTGTCAGAAACACATTTATAGAAACTGGTGAAGTAGTCTTTGCTTTGAAGCTGTGTATAGTCAAGTAGGGAAACAGACATCGAATGCAGGACAGTGAAAGAAATGTAGAAACCAGTTCAGGAATGGGGAGGAAGAGAGATATGAAATACTCCACAAGGAAGCAGCATTTGTGTTATATCTTAAAAAAGAGAGTAGGAGAGTGAAAGATTGAGCTGGGAAAGCATTTGTATTCTCTGGGTTAGTGGGACAGTATGTCATGGTTTACTCTTGAGGCCCGTGAGGTATAAGGTTTGGCTGCAACTGCAGATTGAATATCCTTTATCCAAAATATGTGAGACAGCTGAGTGTGGTCACACACACCTGTTATCCCAGCACTTGGGAGGCTGAGGCAGGAAGATTGTTGGGAGTTCATTGCTAGCCTGGGCTACATAGCGAGTTCAAGCCCAGCTTAGCCTGTACTATATAGCAAGAACATGTCTCAAAAAAGAAAAAGAAAAAATGCTTGGAACAGAAGGGCTTCAGATTTGGGGATATTTATATAACTTTACCAGTTGATTAGCCCTAGTAATGTAAAATGCTCCAGAATCTAAAACTTTTTGGACACTAACATGATACTCAAACAGTTTTAGATTTGGGGATTAGAATGCTTAATCTGTACTGTTATTGGCAGGAGATAAAACTAGAAAGGAAGGTGATGCCAGAGCAGTACAGGGTTTAAATGCCAAGTTCAGGAAGTTGTATTTCAGACTTGTGTTGAGACTGTTTAAGGGAATCCCTACATTTCCTTGTCTCAACTTCTTCCTCAAGTAAAGAATTAAGTTTCTTAGGAAAAGTGAAAAACTATGTACTAGTAATAATATATACATACATACATACATACTTATATGATACACTGTTCTGTAGCTTCCTATCTAAAATATATCTTTCCATATCATCATTTGCAGAGCCACCACATTTTAAAAAGCTATGTAACATTGCATGAATATAGTCATTTATATAAGTTGTCCCTAATTGCTAGACATTTTGTTTCTGGGTTTTTACTGTTGTCAACAATGCTTTCTAAGCCAGGCGTGGTGGTGCACGCCTATAATCCCAGCACTTGGGAGGCTGAGGCAAGAGGATCGCTTGTGAGTTCAAGACCAGCCTGGACTACATAGTGAGTTCCAGGTCAGTCTCAACTACATAGTGAGACCCTGTCTCACAAAAACAAACAAAAAAACAATGCTTTCTAGGGTTTTTTGGTTGTTGTTGTTTTGGTACCAAGGATCGAACATAGGACCTTGGGATTGTGAGGCAGGTGGTGACACCACTGAGCCTGAATTTCCAGCCCCTGACAGTTCTTTCTGGATAATATCAGACATCTATCCTTGGCAACCTTTTGTTAGTGTAATGCAAGGCAAATGCCCTTACTTTGATAGATTTTTGAGAGCAGAGTGTGATTACCCCGTAGATGTGGCTCCATTGGTGGACTTTTATCAAGTAGATTAGCACTTTCTCATTGATTAGGGAATAAACTGAAATGTGTTTGACAGGGAGGTAAGCCGAACCTGGAGAAAGTACAACTCAAATTTCCCTTCCCTGCAGGTTATATATTGAGAAATTGCTTTCTAGAAAGATTTTGCCTTATTTGGCTTTTACCAGCAGGATTTGAGGGTACCCGTTTGATATTTCACAATAATTTTTGCTAATTTAAGAGTAAAATAATTAAATTTTTATATTAATGTATGAGACTTTAAAATGTTTATTTCAAAATATGTACAGTGATTATTTTAGAGATAAGCTGAAAATTGAATGAGTTTAAACATCAGTCAGATTGCTCCTTATTTTTCACATAGATATGCCTTCATGCCCTTAATAGATGATTCTGATGATGAAGTTGAAGAATTCATGGTCACATCTGAAAATTTAAGTGAGTGATAACATTTTCTTTCTAAATAATCATTGTACATATTGTAACAAAGAAATATAAATGCCTTTATCAGTGATCCAAGGTCACACACATCATTTAAATGTTTTTTAATGAAATATTCTCAGAACTTTACAAAAGTTTACATATTTATTGTATATATTTACTTTATTACAGTAGATACTAACAGAAAGAAAAAGTCAGATCATGTGGTGTGAGCTTTTGTTACTCATTTGCTCTTATGGATAAAAGTAGGTACATGGTTTTTCATGAGAATGGTTTGAGATATATTCTACTTCGTGCCTAAATTATATTCATCTTAATGATGACTGCTGGATTTCTGTGAATTGTCTGCCCTTACTTTTTTAAAGGTACGCATACATACAATTTCTTGTTCCTGCCCAAATCATTTCTAATTATAGTTTTAGTGCTATTTTCATTATTTTTCTAAATCTACAGCACATTTTATCTTTTGGTTAATTTTACCCTGATATTCTAATTAAAGATGTATGAAGGCTGTCATCTACTACGAAGTCTTTCATGTTTTTCTGACTCTTAAAAAAGGAAACTGGAGGGCAGGGGATTTAGCTCAGTGGTTTTGCTGCCTGCCTTGCAAGCGCAATAAACCCCTGGTACCAAAAAAAAAGGAAACTGGACAGCTTACTCACAGTTAATGTATTAAGATTCAGTGCATTAAGGTTCTGGCTTAGAGAAATATTGGGGTGAATTGTATCAGATAGACCTTCTGGTTGGTAGCTAGTATAAACTCAGACAAAATATTGGAAAAAGAAATAATAACTGAAGGCATTGGAGAGCAACAAGAAAGTAGACAGAAACTGAAGGGCATTTGCTTGCTGACAGAGGCAAGTGCAGCCTTTGTAAGTCCCACACTTGCAGAGCTTTCATTCTGAGTACACTGTCATTGATGTGCTGATACAGAGCACCAGGAGGGTGTAGACTTACTGATATCAGGAGTGAGAAGCTAGAAATTGTGGCTATAAATGGCTAGAAATTAAAGGGAGAAATCAAGAACACAGCCACAGAAAGAGAAACCCCAAAGTTTATACAGTTCTTTAAATCTTAGCTAATGCCTGAACTGAATATATACGAAGGAAGATGCTAGTGATAAAAGAGAAAAACAGCCATTATTCTGAAGAGTGTAACAAAGATTTTAGTAAGTAGCTGCCCACTATAGCATTTGAAAGTCAAGTCTCAGCAAGTTAAAAGGGCTTGCCAGATGTGGTGACACACTGAGGCAGCAGGGTCACTTGAGTTTGAAGCCAGTCTGGCTTACAAAGAGAGGCCTGAACTACAGTGAGACCCTGTCTCAAAAAGGAGTGTGGGGGACTTGCACAACACCTTGGGCTTTCCATTGAAACTCCTGGAAGGGCCATTCCTTAAAGTGAGAACCACATTCCATGACCGCTGGAATTCTCTTTGGAACTAAAGCTGAGCTAAAATAAGACTATTCTAATAAAATATAAAAGCAGTTTCTGCAAGATCAAAGTGACCCAGCAACTTTCAATGTCTGTTAGAACAAAAAGTGCAGCATTTTTCAGAGGAAGCTAAGAGAATACAGTGTCTATATGATAACACCTAAACTGTCCAGTATACAATAATAAATTACTATCATGGGAAGAAACTGGAAACAGACACATAGTTAATGGAAAAATAATCAGCCATAGAAAGGATCTAAAAGTGACCCAAATATTAAAATTAACAAGAGGACTTTAAAAATGTAACTATTATAAATATGTAAAAAATTTACAGAAAGATTAATGAGGACAAAGGAGAGATATGGAAGCTGTAGAAGAAAAAAAGGGAAAGAAAGAAGGAAGGACCAAATAAAACTGTAGTAGAACTGAAAAGTTAACTTCATTGGATTTGATTAACAGCAGATGGGTAGATTGTATGCACAGAATAAAAGACAGTGAGATTTTTTTTCCCTAGTGCTGGAGGATCGAACTCAGGACTTTGCACTTGTAAGGCAGGCAGTGGTACCACTGAGCTAGATCCCCAGCCCAACCGTGAAATTTTTTATGCTGCAAATTAGAGACAAAGATAATGACTTGTGAGCAGTACTAAGCATTCTAACATGCATAAGTGAACTACAGAAAAGGAAAGGGAATGAGGAATAAAAAAAGTTATAAAAATATTGGCCAGGTAATTTCCAAATTGATCAGTAATACCATCCTACCAATCAATGAACCTCAAACAAAAGAAATACAAAGAATAACATATGTAGACATTGTGGTTACTGCTGGATATCAAAGACAAAAATTTTAAAAGAAACTAGAGAAAGAAGATATTCTAGATTCTGAAGAACAGTTAAGTCCTGAAGATGATGGAATAACATTCTTAAAATAATGAAAGAAAAAAACTTGCCAACAGAGAATTCTGCATCCAGAAAAATGATTTTTAAAAAAGGAAGGTTCAATAAAGATATTTTCAGATAAATGAAAGGTCCAAACATTGGTAGGCCCAGCCTAGGAAAAATTCTAAAGGAAATTTGTTAGAATGAAGAAACCAGTTTGAAATTCAACTTTAAAGAAACAAAGTAAGTGTACTGGCCAGTACTCCCACTTGGGAGGCTGAGGCAGGAGGATCTCCATGAGTTCGAGGCCAGCCTGGGGTACCTAGTAAGTTCAATGCTAATCTGAACGTAAGACCCTGTCTCAAAAAGCAATAACAAAACAAAAAATACAACAAAAAAGAAAATAAAAGTACTGAAAATGGTGCATGCATGAGTATTTATGGAAGACTTTAATCGTTTAAAAGTTAATTGATCAACCAAATGTGGTGGTGCACTACTGTAATCCCAGCACTTGGGAGCACAAGACAGGAGGATCACAAGTTCAAATCTAAATAACTTAGGGCTGGGGATTTAGATCAGTGGCTCTGCTGCCTGCCTCACAAGTGCAAGGACCCAAGTTCGATCCCTGGTACCAAAAACAAAAAACAACAATGTCTAAATAACTTAGCAAGGTCTGTCTCAAAATTTAAAAAAAAATGTTTTTAAAGAATAGTGTAACTCAGAGCAAAGACCCTGGATTTAATGCCCAATACTACAAGAAAAAAAGGAAGGAAGGAATTTTCAGTGTTGTCCAGTGTTGGAAATGATAGGATATTATTGTAATAACGGTACCTAGGGAATATTATGAACAACTTTATCATAGTAAAAGGGAAATTTGGATTAAATAGACAAATTCATTGGAAAAAATTCAACAAAACTACCCTAATTTCTTTTTTTTTTTTTTAATATGAAGTAAAGTTCCAATAAAGCTTTATTTACAAAATCAGGTGGTTGGCTGGATATAGTCCATGGGCTGTTGTCTATTGTTTGCTTGCTGTATATTGCAGATCATTGTTCTAAATACCTAACAACAATCACACTTGAATTCTGAAGATGGAATCCTGCTGTTCCTGGCACAAGTGCTACAGTGTTTCCATTGACTTTTTTTCCCTTCAGTATTTGGGATTGAACCAGGGCCTTTGCACTGACATTGCACTAGCCCTTAATTTTTCTTTTGAAGCTATTAAACTACCATAATTTCAATTCTAATCTTAGGCCACTAAGTAAATCAGCCTATGTCTATTAAAGAAATTGGGTTCATAATTTAATATTTCCCATAAAGTACCAGGCCCAAATGGCTTCCCTAGTGAATCTTTCAAATATTTCATTAAGGAAGAAATACTCAGTCCTGTACAAAATTTAGCAGATAGAGAATAAGGGAATACTTCCTAACTTGCTTTTTTTTTGGTTTATTTTTTGGTTTTTTGAGACAGGGTCTCACTATGTAGTTGAGACTGACTTGGAACCCATTATGTAGCCCAGGCTGGTCTTGAACTCCCAGCAATCCTCCTGCCTCAGCCTCCCGAGTGCTGGGATTACAGGTGTGTGCCACCATACCTGGCTTCTTTTTTTGGGGGGTGGTACTAGGGATCGAACTCGGGCACTTGGGCTTGCAGGGCAGGTGGCAGGACCACTGAGCTAAATCCCCAGCCCCCAACTTGTTTTACAATGCCAGCATGACTTATATTCCAGGACATTGCAAGAAAAAAAATTACCAGTGTTACTGAGTAGAGACATAATCCTTTAAAAACATTAGTAAAGTCTAGTAAAGCATGGAAAGTCAGTTATCATCAAGAGGACTTTATCCGAGGGTTGCAAGCTTGTTTGAACATTTGAAAAATCACTCTATGTTACTCACCACATTAAGAGAATAAAGAAGAAAAATAATATTGCAGTAGATGCAAATCTTAAAAAACAATTCAACAAACTATAGAATGATATAAAAAACTACAGCTAAAATCATATTTAATAGCAAAATTGTGAATGATTTTACAAGATTGGGGACAAAATACAAGGATATCATCTTACCAGTTTGAGCATTGTGTAAGGTTTCCTGGCCATTGCAGAGACAAACAATATCCCACAGGTTGTGAAAGGCAGAAAGTATGGAAAAGAAGAAGTAAACTCTTTATTTACAGACCACAATATTACATGTATAAAAAAATCCAAGACATCTACAGAAGAGTATAGATAGCACTGATAAGTGACTCAAAAAACTGCAGAACATGTCTCCAGTACACAGATACTGTTTTTCTTACATAGTGTATCTGAATATAATTCATGGAAATTTGGTCTTCAAAATAATATTTAGTAATAAATTTAATAAAAGGTCTTAAAAAAATAAGTTCAAGCCAAGCTTGGGCAATTTAGTGACTTAGTGAGGCCCTACCTTAAAATTAAAAAGTGCTGGAGATGTAGCTCAGCACAAAGACCTTTGGTTCAATCCCCAGTACCTCAAACAAAACACCCCCCCCAAAAAAACGAATGTTTCAGCTGATTCTTAAATGTATATGGAAAAATGAAAGACTTAGAAATGTGCAAGCATTCATTAGATATGATATGGAAGAACCTTAAAAAACATGCTAAGTAAAAGAAACCAATCACAGGACGACAGATTGTGTGATTCCATAGAATTGGTACTGAATAGGGA